AGCCACCCAACATGGGCATCAGGCCCGGAGATGAGCAGGGGTCTCTCCCTGTCACCAACCCCACTCTTCCCTCAGGTCCTCAGGGACAGGCCTGTCCCACAAGCCTCTGGACACCCAGCCCATGTCCTCCTTCTGCCCCCAGGGCCTTGATTCCTCTCACTTGAAATGGGACCGCCCTGTCCTAGGTGCTAGGGCCCCCAGCACTGGCCCCTCGTGGTGGAACTGGCCAGAGAGGGGCTACCCAGACACAAGAACACAGACAGAGGCTGTCCAAGCTCACCTACCAGGCCAGGCCTTTCCCCAGTCACCTGCCAGTGTGCCGCCAGCTGCTCCAGAAAGTCCTTCAAACCTGCAGTAGCCCTGCTGCTACCCCCACAAAAGATCCCTGCACCCCTCAGCCCAGTCCCTGCAGACACCCCACCCCCACCTCCAGCCCCACCCCCGCCAGCTCATCTCTCACCAGCTCTCAGGAGGAGCTGGGAAGGTTTTGTGCATGAACATTGACTACTGACTGGCCTGGATTGGGGGGCGGGGGTCCATCTTGACACTTTCAGAGGCAACGCCACCATGCGAGGACCCGGCAGCGCTCCCGGAGAGAGAAGGATCTGGAGAGTGAGGAGTCAAAGACAGCCTCCCCTCCCCCATGTGAAACACACAGCAAGCCAGCTGTGCACATCTGGACGCAGGGTGCAGGGTGGTTTTTAGTTTCCTTTTCATATTTTCTGTATTTTTCATATTTTCTTTAGTGCCTACATGTCACTTTTATAATCAGGTATATAGCAGGTGACCATATGTCTGTAAACATGTTTAAACAGAAAGACTATAAGTGAAAGGGAAGTGTTAGCTCTGGTTGCCTCTGGGTAGTGAGACAAAATGGTGTTTTTCTATATGTGTAACCTCTCTATGATGAGCATGTATCTTTTTTGTAAAAGGAAAAATAACATTTTCTGAAGGCACCTCCAGCCCATCCAGGGTGGGTAGCCCCTGAGCGAGAGCAGCCTTCCACTGGGCAGACCCACACGGCCCTGCCCTGCCCTGGAGAAGTTCAGGCCACATAGAGCTGCCCGGGGTGAGCAAGGTGGACGTTTCTTTCCATTTTATAGACAGTGTGTTCTCGCCTGCTGGGTAACAAATCACTCAACCACGTGGCCGAGCCCAGTGCCAGTTGCCATCTCCGGAATCCTGCGTGGCCTGCTGGGCCTCTACTGTTTGTGTTACACACAACACACTCTTCTCCCAAGCCTGCAGGATCTCAGGGTTGTTGCTCTTTGCAAACCAAACAGCTCAGACGTGAAGAGGCCGAGTGAGCGGGCCACAGCCTTGCACGCGGACCTGACCCCGTGTGAACTGGACGCCCATAAGCTGGAGGCCGCAGCACCGAGCCCCAGAGCACAGGGAGAGATGCCCTCGCACAATCCGGATGGAATCAGCGGCAGCAAGGTTACCCGTACAATTATTTATTAAAAATCCTATAAAGTAGGTGGGGGAAACGAAGAAAATATTGGAAGAAACCCTAGAACAACCACTGAGAAGTATAATTTCTGAAGTTTTTCTCAAATGTTTCCTTACGATGGTTATACAATGTTCGCATGTTTTTAAACTATAAACCATTTAGGCTGATTTTAGACAAGTGTCAACAGCTCCAGCTCCAGCAAAGATCTTCTGGAACCTTCTCTGAGGCAGGGGTGATCTGACCACACCTGGAACCCACCCACACAGGGTCTCAAATATATATGTTGACTTTGTTGTCTCACAGTAAAAATTGAAATGTTTTTCCAAATATGCACTTGACTAAACTGAAGAAATATAGACATGAAAAATCACTCAGAAATCCGAAAAGCAAAGGATTTGAAACCAACGGCATCTCATTTGTAGGAAGAGTTAGTGTGGGGATTGGTAAACGTGCAGATCGATTCCACAAGAAGATTCTGGATTGGAAGCAACCAAAACACGTTGCAAGGAAACTCCTTTGGGGTTATGGTTCTTTTCCAGACATCTTCAACTCAGCTGCACTTTTGTTCTCCCGGGCGCCAGAAGCACAGTCCCCACGAATGGGCAACACCCCCTCCTTCAGCCGGGCAGTGTCCTGGGCTCAAAGCTGCTTCAGACCAGACTTTTTCTCTCAGTGACTCACTCCTGAGCTGGAGGAGACCCCGGCCTCCCCTCCAGTCCGGCCCGCCCCAGCCTCCTCCTCCAGCCCCTCCTCCTCCCTCGGCCCCTCCCTCCCTCCCTCCTTCCCGGGCAGTAACTCCCGCCAGAGCAGAGACAACTTTTCTCTCTCTCTCTCTGGCTGCCTTCAGCCCACCCTGACCCCTGACACGCAGGCCGGCGACATGAGGCTGGCCCACGCTCTGCTCCCCCTGCTGCTGCAGGCCTGCTGGGCCTCCGCGCAGGACCTCCCGGCCGCCGAGAGGGCCATTGCCTTCCAAGGTGAGTGGACTTGCCGCCTCTCCCACCCGCTCTGCTTCTGCTGCTGGTGAGGCAGGGCTGGGACCCGGCTTCTCCCCTGGCCGCGTTGGAGGGCTTGAAACTCCCCCGCTCGGTGCCCAGGTCCCCGGGCTCCTCCACAAGGCCCCTGGGCTGTGGTCACCACGGGCGAGTCCAGAGGGCCGGGTGGAGAAGGAACTTCATTTGGGTCCCGGCCCCCATCGCGTGCTGGTTTTGCTCCACCTCGGTCAGTCCCATTTGATTCCTTGCCCGGCAGTCAGTCAAGAAACACGGTTACCTGTTCCCACGCTCATGCCCTGGGACTTTTAAATTCAACTCGGCACCTAGTGAGAAAGCAGCCTTCGCTGTCCAGGGCGGGGCTCCCTGCCTCCCGGAGGCCTGGCAGGATTCTCAGGACCGAACGTGGGGGTTCTCACGGTCACCCCACCCCATCGCTGGGTGCCAGCTTTCCTGATGAGGGCCACTTGGTGCAGTGGGAGTGGCTGCCTGGGGAGGTGGCTGGTGGGGTGAGAGGGGCTGGAAGGGAAAGTGGGTACAGGTGGCCTCAGTGTGGCCTCAGGGGCACTGGGCATGAGCTGACGGTCTCCTCTCCCTGGCACAGACTGCCCCGTGGACCTCTTCTTTGTGCTGGACACCTCCGAGAGCGTGGCCTTGCGGCTGAAGCCCTATGGGGCCCTGGTGGACAAGGTCAAGGCCTTCACCAAGCGCTTCATCGACAACCTGAAAGACAGGTAGGAGGGCACGCCTTGAGCTCTCTCCTGCATTCCTACGGCCGCTCAGAGGAAAGGCCAGTGGGCCCAGGGCACCAGCCGGCCTGGTGCCATGCCTGCCCCCGCCCAGCAGGCAGAGCCAGCCTCAACTTCCCTACCTAAGAAGGGAAGTGCTGGTCTGGCCACTCGAGTCCCTTCCCAATGTCCACGGTGGTTCAGATGGGCCAAAGAAGGGCTTGAGGTGGACAGGCTACTGGGAGGGCACTGGTCAGCAGGGAGGGCCAGTGCTGTGATGTGGGGCTCCTGTCACCCCAATACATACAGGGAACTGCCTCCCAGCCCAAAATGAGCAGGTTTAGGGAGTTGGCCTGCAGCCCTGACCAGCCTGGAGGGGGCGCACCTTGCCAACCATCTGGACACTAGCCGCTGCCCACATGACTGGTCAGAGCCTGTGTCCAGACGCAATGTCCCAGTGTACCCAGTGTCGCAGACAGAGGGCCTGGGAGGGCTGCCAGCTTGGTTCCTGGGTTTGGGCATGGCACACTTCATTCATTCCCTCCCTCCCTCATTCATCCGTGTGACCAATCAGCAGCACTGGGAAGGTGGGGTGGGGAGAGCCTGGAGCAATGTGTGTGGCCAAGGTGAAGGACAGAGTAGAGGGGGGAGGGGCACATCTGTGCAGGGCCCCATCCCTAGACCCTCTCTGTCCCTACTGACCTGCTGACCGGGCCGAACCTCCCGTACCAAAAGGGGCTGCAGGGACAGAGGGCTTGGCTGCCCAATGCAGGGCGTTATGATACCTGAGGCCCCGCACTTACCCCAAATGCCCAGGTGCTGGGCCGTGTGGACGGTGCCTGGGGAGGAACGCTGGGGCAGCCATTGGGCCGCCATCTCCCTCCATGTGCCTTGGCCTCCTACTCAACCTCCTGTGACTCAGTTCCCCACCTGTGAACTGGAATAGGCTCCTCTCGTGGTTGCTACTGTTGGCATGACCACAGGAGCCTCAGTCACTCCATCTGCTTAATGGGCTGCCTGGCAAGCCACCGCCAGGCCTGGGCAGAACAAAACTGAGAACATCAGGGTCCAGGTGCACACAGCAGAGAGAGGCCCCCAGTCAGATCATGGGGACCGCTCACCAGTGTCCTGCTTAGAACTGGCCTTGCCCAGTCCCCCTAACCTACACCTCTCTGCCCTCCCATTGCGGGTCTGCCCCCAGCGCCCTGCCCATCAGTGTCCAGGCCCACACAGCTTCTCAGACGAAGTCCCTGGAGATCAGGAGCTGAGGCTGCTGTAGGCTGGCTGGAGCCGGTGCCTCCTGATCTTGCGGGCCTTCAGGCCAGGGAGCAGGGCCCATGTGAAGTCCAGCCCAGGCTCCGTCCTCTGGGGCGCAATGGGCCGGGGTGCTCTTCCATCTGCGAAAGGCGGCCACCTTGCGCTGGGTGGACCGCCCCGGGTGCCGGTGAACACGGGCGCGGCCCGGAGGCTCATGCTCACCCCTCGCGCCCGCAGGTACTACCGCTGCGACCGCAACCTGGTGTGGAACGCGGGCGCGCTGCACTACAGCGACGAGGTGGAGATCATCCAGGGGCTCACGCGCATGCCCAGCGGCCGCGACGCGCTCAAGGCCAGCGTGGACGCGGTCAAGTACTTCGGCAAGGGCACCTACACGGACTGCGCCATCAAGAAGGGGCTGGAGGAGCTGCTGGTGGGGTGAGCACCCCCACCCCCACCCCCGCCCAGGCCCGCACACACGTGGCCTCGGTCCCGGGCGTGACTCCTGCCTCTGGGAGCCGCCCAGGCCCCTGTCCCTGGAGGGTTCCACCTCCCTGACCCACGTATGGTCACTGCACCCAAGCTCGCCAGGTGCCTGGGCTGCCCACTGGCAAACCAAGCTCTGGTGCCCAAGATCCCCCAGGACCAGCCCCAGTGGCCAAGGGGATCATGCTGGTGGCCGATGCCCAGCCTGCCCTCATGGCCACCAAGGGTCACTCCGAGTCCCTTCATCCCCCCTGGAGCTGTCCACTCTCTCCTGAGCCAGTGAAAGCAGAAGGGCCTGGAATGCCCACCAGTGCCACCCGTGGGCCAAGCAGAGGTGCTGCCTGCAGTCAGGGACACAGAGACAGAGAGAAACAGAGAGACGTTGGGAGACAGGGACAGAGAGCCCAGCGGCGTGGCTCAGGGGTAGAGCGCCGACCTATGAACTAGGAGGTCACGGTTCAATTCCCGCTCAGGGCACATGCCCTGGATGCGGGCTCAATCCCCAGCATGGGGTGTGCAGGAGGCAGCCAATCAATGATTCTCTCTCATCATTGGTGTTTCTATCTCTCTCTCCCTCTCCCTTCCTCTCTGAATCAATAAAAATATATTTAACAACAAAAGACAGGGACAGAGAGGGCGACACAGAGGGAAGGGGTCCCTGTAAGAGCATCCCTTCGCTGGCTCCTCACACTACGTGGAATCTTTGCAGCGATGAGCAGGCAGCAGCCACCATGTCCAGAGAGAGGGTTGGCTCCTGGCCGCGGCTCAGCCCGGCCACAGCCCCCGGTGCCCCCATTCACAGATGGGCATACCTGCAGCCAACCTCCTCCACCCCCTCACCCCCCCAACCCCCCACCCTACCCCACCCCCACCCCCGCTGCCTGTGATTGAGGCTCCAGGTCAGGACCCCTCAGGGCGGGTGAGGACCTGTGCCTCTCCCCTGGCTGTAGGTGCGTTTTCCAAAATAGTCTTCGAGGGAAATGTGACCCCACAGAACTCTGTTTTCTGTTCAATGTCTGTTTTTATGATCCTACTTGATAGCAGGATCAACAAAGAAAAACATTATTCAGTGTAACAGGTAACACCGCTTTGCAGAGCTGGGCCCCGGTCGGGTCTCCCTCGGGGTGTCTGCCCCCCATCACCTCCCAGCACCAGGTCTCAGCTCTCCAAAGGGGCCCTGTGCTGTCAGGGTCAGAGGTGGCCGGAGGGGGCCCGGCCGAGTCTCACGCTCCCCACCCCCTGCAGGGGCTCCCACCTGAAGGAGAACAAGTACCTGATTGTGGTGACCGACGGGCACCCCCTGGAGGGCTACAAGGAGCCATGCGGGGGCCTGGAGGATGCGGTGAACGAGGCCAAGCACCTGGGCATCAAAGTCTTCTCAGTGGCCATCACGCCCGACCACCTGGTAGGAGCCCCGTCCTGGGCCTATGGCCCGGGAGGGGGCACAGGACACAGCCTGTGGGTGCAGAGACCGGGCACCGAGCTGCAGCCAGGGCGTGGGGAGGAGCAGAGACGGGGAGGGGCCTGCGCTCCCAGCCGTCACCGGCACCCTGGTTCCTGCCATCACCCGTGTGCTCGCTGTGCCCACCCAGGAGCCGCGGCTGAGCATCATCGCCACAGACCACACGTACCGGCGCAACTTCACGGCGGCGGACTGGGGGCAGAGCCGCGACGCGGAGGAGGCCATCAGCCAGACCATCGACACCATCACCGACATGATTGTGAGTGGCCCTCGCCGTCACCTCCCGGTCCGGATGCCGGGAAATCCTGTGGCTGCAAATGTAAATTAATTTGACTTTTTCATTTCATTTTCAGAAAAATAATGTGGAACAAGTGGTAAGAGCCCCTCACCCCACCCCGACCCTCCCCCACTGCCCAGGGGGTCACCACTGGCCCCCACCTCCCAGCTGGGCGCCCAAGCCGAGCCCTCTGAGCCCCCGCAGGCATCGGGGTGCGGCAGCTGCGCCTCGGCTTTCTGATGTGTCACTCTGTCCCTCCTCCGGCAGTGCTGCTCCTTCGAGTGCCAGGTGAGTGTGGGGCCCCCCTATCCCCCTGCCCAGGCCTGGGGCTCCGGGAGGGTCTGTCTTGGGCTGACTGTTCTCTCTGCCCTGCAGCCCGCCAGAGGACCTCCCGGACCACGGGGTGACCCAGGGTACGAGGTGAGTGTCTGCGCCCCGCCCTCGCTGACGTCCAGGAGGGAGGTGGGAGGTGCCCAGGTGTGAGGGACACGGTGACCCCCAGGCAGCCGTTCTGAGCACCCCCATGCATCTGCCACTGGGCTGGGTGTGGGGATGGTGGAAGTATCCCTACCTGAGCGGTGCCCCAGCCATGGGAGAGAGTCCGGCACAGGGACCCCCAGGCCGAAGGGGTGGCCCAGGGCTGGCGTGGGGGGGCGGGGGTCTGACAGCACCCTTGCCCCCTCCTGTGGTGGAGGAGCTGGCGCTTTCTGAGTGTCGCCTGAGTGCTTGGCTCCTAGAGATGGGCCTCGATGGGGGATGGGCATGCCCTTGGGCCCCCACCAGGGTGGCTTGCGCAGGGAGGTGTGGAAAATCAAGATGCATTGCTGGTATTTACAAATTGGGACGTTGGTCAGGAAAGTCCAGATTTATGGCATCTCCTAAAAAATGTCAGCTTCCGTGGCATGAAGCCATGTGGCCACTGACCACGGGAGTTGAGCCGGCCTCTCCCGGGGGGTCTTTTATAAAAATATGTTTTTATTGATTTCAGAGAGGGAGGGAGAGATAGAAACATCAATGATGAGAGAGAATCATTGGTCAGCTGCCTCCTGCACGCCCCCTACTGGGGATGGAGCCCGACACCCAGGCACGTGCTCTGACCTGGAATCGAACCATGACCTCCTGGTTCATGGGTTGACGCTCAATCACTGAGCCATACAAGCCGGGCTCCCTGGCGGGGGTGGGGGGATGGGGGGCCTTTGTGCCCATGCGGCGGCCCGCCTGGGAGGCCAGCACAGCAGCAGCAACAGGGCACTGGATGGTAGAGAGGAAAGATTCGGGGCCTCTGTCCAGCCAGCAGCCTGGTGGGGTGTGAGGGAGGGGACACGTGGAGCTGACCTCGCATGTCCCAAGACGGGCCACGGTCGGTGGGGAAGGTGCCTGAAGACCATGCAAGCAAGTTTTGCAGAAACACCCGGGAAACTGCCCCTAACCTTGACCTGCTTTGTGTTCCAGGGAGAACGAGGGAAGCCAGGTCTCCCAGGAGAGAAAGGAGAAGCCGGAGACCCCGTGAGTGCCAAACGCCTGACCCTGGGGTGGGAGTGCTGGGAGCCTGAGGCTGGGGGACCAGGCTGCGGAAACTTCCAGAAGAATGGCTGGTGTCTGAGTGTCATGGTCACGGTCCTTAGAGGACATGGCCACATGGGCAGCCAGGGCTGGAGTGTGCACTGCACAGACATCCCGTCCAGTATATCCCCTGGGCGGGGCCCCATGCCCTCAGGCCTCCCCACAGGCCCAGCCTGTGCTCCATGGGCCGAGGGGGGGGGTGAGGGGGAATGGCCAGCAAAGTCCCGTGCCCTCTGCCTCAGCCATGGCCAGTCTCCCCACAGCCCACCCCCAGCTCCTCCTGGGGGCCCTTGACCTCCCCCTTCCCTCCCGGAGCTTCCCTGAGGAGCCCCCAGGAGTGGAGGAGGGGCCTTCACAGCAGGGCTGCTCCCTCAGGTGCCAGCCAGCAGGGGGCCAGGGGCCAGCGGGCAGCAATCAGAGAGCCCAGTCTCTCCAACTGACAGGGCTGTGTGGAGTGGGCTTCAAGGAGGCTGGGTGGGGGCTGCCCCGTCCCCCCGGGGGTGTCTAACGCGCACCCTCCTTTGTGTTTCAGGGAAGGCCCGGCGACCTGGGGCCCGTTGGCTACCAGGGGATGAAGGTATGTCTCCTCTCCCGCCCCAGCGGCCTCTTCGGGGGCTGAGCCGAAGTGCATCCGAGCTCCCCCAGGGCATTGGCCGCGGGACACCAGTAACAGCCCCCTCTCCTCTCTGTTTGCTGTGTAGGGAGAAAAGGGAAGCCGAGGGGAGAAGGTGAGTGAGGCACAACTTGGGCTGTGCAGCGCCCTCACCTGGGCAAGGACGGCATGGCCCGTCCCCAGGGTGGCTGGGCCCCATCGAGCTGGTGGGGGGTTGGCTGGTGCGACCCTCCCCGGGGATCTGGGAGGCCCACCCCCTCCTTGCTGTCCTCCTCCCCGTCTCTGGTCAATTTCTGGGGAACTTTCCCCATGACGGGGGGACCACTGCCCTCACCCTTCCCTCCTGTCTCTACAGGGCTCCAGGGGACCCAAAGGTTACAAGGTGAGTTTGGCGGTGGGGACGTGTGTCTGCCCGTGGGTGGGTGCTGTCCAACCTTCATCTGATCCTTTGGCCTTTGCACCTCACAGGGCGAGAAGGGCAAGCGTGGCATCGACGGTGTGGACGGCATGAAGGTAACCCCCAGGCCGGGGAAAGGGCAGGTGGCCAGGGCCACAGGTCGGGGAAGGGACGGTGGGCACAGCCAGTTCTCCCTCCAGACATCAGCAGGTAGGGACCCTGGTGGGCACTTCTGGGCAGTTTGGAGGCAGTGGGGAAGGTAGGAGATGTTTCCTGCCGAGCCCGTGGTCCCAGTGGACCCCAAGCCACCTGGCCAAGCTCGGGGTGTCTTCTGGAGTGGGGCTTTCCTGGGAGGGGGATAGGGGAGCCAGAGTTAAAAGACTGGACCACCAAACCTGCCTTCCTCCTTCCAGGGGGAGATGGGGTACCCTGGCCTGCCAGGCTGCAAGGGCTCGCCTGGATTCGATGTAAGTCACTTTCTCTCGCCGATACTTTCAGACTGTAAGTTCTCAGGTGTGAGCACTGGCTCATACCCTTCGGTCTCTAAGAAGTCACCAGAGGGCTTGGTTAAGACCCTGGACTGACCTCTGCCGTCTTCTCACCAGGGTGTCCAAGGCCCCCCAGGGCCCAAGGGTGATGCGGGCGCATTCGGACTGAAGGGAGAAAAGGTGGGTGCCGTGAACCCCCTGGGGGCTGGGTCTCGGCTTCATTGGCTGCTCTGCTCAGTGGGCAGGCGGGTTATGGTTTAAACATCACAGCTCCCCTGATGGGCAGGTGAGTTTGCCCAAAGGGAGCGTTCCCTGCACGCATCACTGAGCCTCGGACCCTCCTGCCCAAATCGCCCCTGCCCTCTGCCTCCGGAGTGTCCCGCAGCCTCCTGTCCCAGAGGCCCCCTGCTCAGGTGGAATCAGAACGTCAGAGCCGGCAGCGACGCTGCTGGCGGCCAGTGGGCAGATCGGCGAAGCTCGGATATCTTGGTCGGGTTTGAGGCTGTTTTGTTGCTGGCGTTTCCTGGGGTTTCTCGTGGCCGCAGGAAGTGCTAGGAGCGATGGCAAAGCCCTGTGGACCCGCCCCACACGCTCTACCCTAACCGCCCCGGGTTCCGGGAATGCATTTTCGTGTATCACCTTCCAGCTCACGGGTTACTGACGGGGCCCAGAGCCGAGTTCCCGGAAACGGCCTCACTAATGAGAACCAGGGTTGTCCCTGGGAGGACTGGGCCGCAGGGGACGCGACCGGGGCGGAGGCACAGGAGGACCGTGGGGCTGGCCGGGCAGCAGCCTGCCGTCTGGGTGAGCAGGGCTGGCACGGGGGCTCTGGTCCCCCCAGCGAGGACAGGCGGGGCTGACCCTTCTGATCTTTCCAGGGGGAGCCTGGAGCCGATGGGGAGCCTGGGAGGCCAGGGAGCACAGGGAGTCCCGGAGACGAGGTGAGCATTCACGGGGTGCCCGCCCACCCTCCTTCCACCACAGCCAGGGTGGGGCCCAGGCCCTGGGAGGGGCCGCCAGGACCGGGCCAGCCACAGTCCCGGCACTGGCCAGGCCAGAGATGGACGAGTGTGCCTTGTTCTCCCCAGGGAGACCCCGGAGAGCCTGGTCCCCCAGGAGAGAAGGGCGAGGCCGGCGACGAGGTGAGCACCCACATTTGGCTTCTGCTCCCTGTTCCTGAGACTCAGGCTGAGTTCCCATCTCAACTAACACTTCCGTTCATTCCTCTCCATCCCAGGGCAACGCAGGACCAGACGGCCCCCCCGGAGAGAGGGTGAGTCCAGCGGGGTGGGCTCTGGGCTCGGGGCCTCATTGCTTCGTGCCAGATGTGGCTGCATCACCAGCTGGGGGCCCGCTGGGCGTGGGGATCGGCCCTGTGCCCAGCCCTTGGGTCCCTCCCACATCGAGGAGTCTGGAGCTGCAACCTCACCTTCTTCTGCTTCTCTCCACACAGGGCGGCCCTGGGGAGAGGGGACCGAGGGGCACCCCAGGCGTGCGGGGCCCAAGAGGAGACCCGGTGAGTCACCGTGCATTAAGCTGGGACCCCACTTCGCCGGGGGGACAGACTGAGGTCAGGCTGTCAGAATCGCAGGACACATCCCCTCGGCCCCTAGATTTCTGTTTCAGCTCCTGCCCTCGGCCCCACCCAGACCTCAGGGAGCCAGGCCTGGGAGGAGGCCAGCAGGGCAAAGGGCGGGGTCTCTGCCCTCAGCCCCCAGGACCAGCCCCTACGGAAACGACCACCTAACATCACAGGAGACACGGTGGTTTGCTCCCTGAGGTTTTGTCGGGGACGTAGGTGTTTTCAGGACCCTGACTGTGGGGTCTGTGATGCTCCGTCCGTCACTATTCCAGCTGCACCACTTTCCATGCGACATGGTTTCCGTAGCCCCGAGCCTGCCCCACTCACCAGGGCTTTTCTCCATCCCTGCGGCCCTCCCACAACAACTCCCTGAACAGTTCTGCAGACAGAGCCTGCCTTCTTCTTAGGAACAACTTTTCTTTGTTAAAACTTCAAGAGCGGGAACAGCGGGCAGCCAAGTGGCGGACAAGCCTGTGGCTGAGGCTGCTGGTGGCCCCGTGGTTGAGTGCATGGTTTTGCCGGCCCGCGAGGGCGGGCACCAGGGAGCCCCTGCCTGGTTTGTGGGGGGCAAGCCCCACCCCACATCCAGAGTTAGGGGAAAGGGTGCTGAGCTCCCAGCCTCAGATGTGGGCTGGGCCGTCTGCCACCACAGACCTGGCGGTGCTGCGACTCCTCCCCATGTGAGGCTGAGGGGCAGGTGCGTGTTCAGGTGCCCAGTGGGGAGAGCGAGTTTCCTGTGAGGCCCCAGGCAGGGCTCGGGGAGGGACATCAAAGCAGGGAACTTGGCTTTGACCCCCTTCCAAACCCACCCCCTTGAGATCAGGAAATGGGA